CAAACAAACAAACAAACAAACAAACAAACAAACAAACAAACAAACAAACTCGTGCAACCTGTACTGTGCTGTTGTAGTGTTTTTTGTAGTGTTCTGTCCAAAACAGGCTAAAAACAAAACAATTTCACTTTTTAGTCTATCGTTCTATATAGGGAGATGAGAGGCAAAATGTCTCCAACTATAGAAAAAAAGTCCAGTTGTTTTGAAATTTAATATATATTTTAATTTTCTATGTCTTGGATAATCTACACACCAGTCAGTATCTGTCTCAGGGAGGTTTTATTCGGATCATACCATCATGTTGTTCAGCTTTATACTCAAAATTTTTCAAACCAGTCAATAAAAGTTATACTGATATTTTACTCTTTACAATGCTTAAAATGTGGTGATGTATGTATTCATAGCAAGTGTTCGGCAGAAACAAATAAGCATAAAGTTTAGTTTCTCCAAGTATTTTACACCCCTCCGCTCCTCCGCAATGGTTCACTCCATCACTCCAGCTGATCGGCCCAGTGTCTCCCCCCCTGCCGGTGCCTCTGACCGTCGCTGGCTTTGACGCTTCCAACGTCGACTTTAAACTGCTTTATTTTTACCTGGACAGTGGCCGCTCGTGACGGCAAACTGTCTATTTGAGACAAAATCTCCACGGAACAATCCGGCTCGAACACTGACTCCTAAAGTCAAGGTGATCCGAGAACAATTTTGAGGCCTTCGCTCCATCCGCGGATTCACCTGCTACACAGGGAGAGCCCGTCACGGCTTACCGACATGGGGGACACGGGGAGTGAAGGCAGCAAGCCTTCGGCCAACGTCAACGTTATACCACCGCGCTGCCCCTGTGGATTTTGGGGGTGAGTGAAACAAAAAGAAACACTTCCTCCTTTTAAATTCTCTCTTTCTCGGCCAACAGTTAGCAAAGTCGATAGCCACTAGCATTAGCAGCCCTAAGGATGAGCAGCTTTTCTTGTCATTAACCCCCCTCCCCATTGTTTTGTACCATTAGCTGCTAGCTACAACCAGCTAGCCTCGGTAACCTTATCTTGTCTGTGTGGGAGAAAACCTGGTAATTTTAGCGACAAGCCCTCCGGGTAACTTGACAGCTGTGGTAATGTAAAGAAAGATACCGAGTGAGTTTGTTCAACAAATGGTCTGTTAAAGGGAACCAACTTAATGAGTTAAACAAGTTTGGTAAACTCAACTGACATATGTCTGATCACCGTGACCAGACACAAAAATAAATAAGCTCACATTTACATAGCAGAGGGCCTACATTATGTTTTATTGAACTTTCTTAATAATGTTCGTTTTTGAGAACGCATTTTAACTGTTTAGTTTGTTTTATTTATTTATTGGTAAAATAAGGACATTTTGTGACAGTGTAGCAAGTATGGAATTCAAAAGCAAATATCAATACTAAAACAAACAGAAAGTATTTTAGTAATAAACTATTTTTTTTCCCTTTCAGTTGTTTTGAATTGTTGGTAGTAGGGCTGTGTATTGGCAAGAATTTGGCGATACGATACATATCATAACAGAGGGGTCACGATACTAGGGGTGTAAGAAAATATCGATACACTGAAATATCGTGATATTTTATTTCCCGATACTGTATTGATATTCTAAAGCCCTGTATCGATTTTTAAT